TATATATAAAGCCATATTTGATAAACATCTAAATAACACAGCAATTAATTCATAATAACATTATATATAGCTAAACTAATATCGAAAAACAAAAAGAAAAGAGTTTCTTTCAATTTAAAGTATCCTAACGGCTATAAAACCCACCCTAGCAATTACAGAATCAAAATTACTTACAAGAAGAACGTCAAAAGCTCCTGGACATCACAATCTCTTCGTCTCGGCTCGATCTCCTTCTCCTCCTATACTCCTTGTTATCCGTCGACGGCTCCACCACATCGGCGGCGAATCTTACCTTCTTCTTCGGCCGCTTACTCTTCTCTCCACCTACCAACACAAGAGCTGAAAAGTGAACACTCTGCTAACCAAGACAGGAAGAAGAAGATGAAGAAGGAAGAGGAACACAGAATTTCAGTGAGAAAGAAGTAAGATTTGGAGTTACAGAGCTCAAGTTCTGCTTTTTTCATGAAATCTGAAACAAGGCGTTTGTGGAATTGGAGGACGACGAGGGCCACACTGCTTGAAATCGCCACCACAGCCATTAATCCCACGCAGCCGGAGCTCTCCATCTCTCCCTATGGCTTGCTGTCTCTCTCTTCACCTCTTCTTTTTTCTGGCGTTATGGATTCTAAGGAGTTGGAGAGTAAATAAGCGACAGAAAGCAGAGGAAGATATCCGCAGGTAACGACTTTTGACTTTTATTAACTTTTATTAACTTTTATGACTAAATTACCCTTCCTTTTAGATAAGGCCGTAAGAAAATAATAATAATTAGTTAATTTATGCTCTATCAAATTTGGCTCAATAATTAAATGATACTTCATTATTTTTTTTATTTATTTAAGAAGCTAAATATATTCAATTTTATTTAAATTTAATATAATTATATATATTAAAAAAACTTATTTTAGGTAGGATAGCATTTATCATGAAATTTAACTAATTTATTTTGTGAATAATACTTATTAAAATTTAATATTGCACTAATTTTTAAAAAAAATCTAATTTTGTAAGGCTATGTCATTGCAATGCATATATAATAAAAATAAATATTTAAATATATTTATCTGTGTATATATTTATGAATTTATGCTGTTATTCAAATATTTATAATTATATAAATTTATAAATATATATATTTATTATATATACACTAATATATGTAATTTTTAAGTAAGAAGAGATGTATTTAATCTTATAAATTACAGAACCTGGTTGGTGGCCTCAACGAATTAAGAATTTACTATTATGCCCTCGAGAAATAAACCCGGTCCACTCTGATGCTTCGCATTCATCGCGGTTAGTTACCGCCCGGGCAGTTACGGGCTGTCCGCTTTTCGACCGTAAATGGGTTGCGATGAGAGGTGATGGAAAGCTAGGGGATCTATGAGCCACGTGGCAGTGGGCCCGTGGGATCTAGTACTTCCAGCTTTCTCGTGAAACATTACCAAGAGTTTGGGGAATAACAAGAAACAGCCACTTTGTCCAATTGGAATTTGAAACCTTGCACGGAAGTAAAGGCGTGGGCCCTACATTAAAGTGGGGAAACGCAAATGGCCATTCAAGTGGTTAGGAGGTGGCGTCTTTTCATTATTTTAATTATTATTATTTTTTTCCTATGACGTTCAGACTAGTTCAGGTTCGCTTAATAATGATTATGCTGACATAAGCAAAACCGGCCATTTAGGAATAATTTTAAAAAATTTTGGCATTTACATATATACCACCTATTTCCTACTTTACATATCTATCACATAAATTTAACTTTTTTTACTTTTAGACCTCCTAAATCTTTCATATTATATGAAAAATACAACTTTTTACTTTTAAATAGTAAATACACATTTTCATGTACTACAGTATATCTACGATGGTATGCAAGTAAAAAATGAAGTTTAGGTGTGATACACCATCAACAAATTATCATCATTCGGCACGAATCTCGAAGCATGATATGGATCTTGAGACAATATTTTGAGCGAGAAATATTCAAATTTTGATAAAAGTTATCCAGAGCTTTGATTTCAGAAAAATTATAGTCAAACTCAAACTGACCGGCTCAGTGAGAAGAATCCAAATATAAAAAAACTAGTCCAATACGAGTCAGATCAAACCCGGATCAAATATTTAAATCATTATTGGAGGATTTTCTGAGACATTTGATGAATCTAGCGAGTTCAAAGTTGGATCAAGCGTCTCGACAAGACGAATCTAGCGAGCCCAAGATTGCTTAATTCTAACATCGTTAAGACACTCAAATCTCCATCAAACGTTATCTGATCGAAGGAAGCTCTCCGGACCGTTTGATCAAAATAGTTCATACTCCTGCATTAATTGCACCTAAAATCACTATAAATAGAGTCTCACCCCTCACATGAGAGGAGAGGCTTGAGAGAAAACTTGGGGCTTTGAGAAGGAGTTCAAGTCCAACATCTTCAATGCCACCGCCGACCTCTGGCGACCACCGCCGACCATCGTCGATCACCACCGACCATCACCGACCTCCGTTGACCACCGCCGACCGTCGACAACCACCACCGCTCATCGTCGAGCACTGTCGATCACCGTTGACCTCCGTCGATCACCATTGACTGTCGGTGAACACTGCAGGCAATCGTCGACCGTCATCGATTGCAGTTAATCACCGCTGACCTCTGTCGGTCGTCATCGACTGCAGTTGACTACCGCTGACATTCGTCGACCACCACCGACCTTCATCGATTGTCGTTGACTACCGTCGATCACCGCCGACCTCCATCATCCACCGCTGACTATACGCTATCAGTTGACGTTATAACTTGAAAAGCTAGTAACCCTTTTCCCGTATGTGGGACAACAGGTCTCTGTAATCATCAATCAATAGTGAATTTTCATAAGTGGGTCAGATCCTGTGGTTTTTTCCCTTTCTAGGTTTTTCACGTAAAAATTTATAGAGTCATTGCTATTTGTTTCTTTCATTTGTTTGTGTGTTGAATTCTTGTACAACGTTAAGACAAAATTCATTACTCTACCGCCGCGGATTTTCCCGCACACATCAAGTCGTTAGCTATATAAATGTATAAGAATTGAGTGGTATGTATGTAAGCCTTGCTTCAAAATTAGGAGCATTTTCATATATATACGCCACTGACTTATTATGAAAGTTTTTAGCGATATAAATAAATATATATATAAAAACATTTGAATTGCATTAATGAAAATCTTCTAATAATTTATTAAAAAATTATTATTTAATTGTTTTAATTTTGAGCCAATTCAATGGTAAATTGAATTAAAAGTTGGTTTGTTCTTTAATTAGAATTTTGATTGGTTCGATTTTTAGTGATTTGAATTTCAGTTATTATAGTTCTGATGGATTTGTAATCTTAAGAATATAAAGCTAAGTGACAACATTAAAAAAAGAAACATTTATATTTACAAATAATAAATTTTGGGTGGTGTGCATGTAATTTCCCCGAGATATTTGGATTCGACAGGCCAAGAACATGTCCTGTATGTGATTTTACAATTTCTGGATTTGCCTTTCCCAGATTTTTATTTTTATATTCCATATATATATATATATAGAGGGGCGCGCACACACTATATTCTGATATAAATTATAATCTGATGGTTTTAAAATTATTGAATTTAATTTGAAATAAGCATAATACAATTATTTACATAGAACATTAATTTTGATGCGTGCTAGAAAATTCGCGGCGGTAGGGTAATGGATTATCGTCTAAGCGTTACTCGAGGATTCATCACACACTCGGATGAAAGGGGAAATAATCTGTGATGACACCAGAAGTTTCTACGTGAAAAATCTGTAAAAGGGAAAAATCATAGGGTCTGACCTAGTTGTAAAAATCCACTATAAGTTTATCACATATGGTCATTGTCCCACGGGCGAGAAACCCACGGGCGAGAAATAATTACTAGTTTTCTAATTTACAACGTCGACTGATGACGTCTAGTCAGCGGTGGTCGACGTTGGTCGGTGGTGATCGACGGAAACCGGCGGCGGTCGTCCACTGTAAGTGGTGGTCGACAACGATCGACGATGGTAGGGATGATGTTGGACCTGAGCTCCTTCTCAAAACCTCAAGTTTTCTCTTAAGCCCCCTCCGCATGTGAGGGGTGAGGCTCTATTTATAGTGTTCTGGGTGTCATTAATGCAGGAATATAAACCATTTTGATCGGACGGTCCGAAGAGCTTCCCTTAATTAGATGAGATTTGATGGACATTTGAGTGCCTTAATGATGTCGAAATTGAGCAATCTTGGACTCGTTGGATTTGTATTGTGGAGATGCTCGATTTGACTATGAAATTGTAAGATTCGACATCCTTTTGACATTTCAAATGTGTTTGGAAATTCTCCAAGAATGATTTAATGATTTGATATGGGCTTGATTTGAGATTTGTCTTGGATTAGTTTGACTTTCATATCATTAGGTCCGTCTCATCGAGCCGATCAACTTGACTATAAGTTTGCTGAAATCATAGCTCTGAAATTTGAATGTTTCTTGTTCAAAAAATTACATTGAGATTCGTGCTGGCCGATGAAAATTTGTTAGTGGCTTATCAAATCTTAAAATTTATCTAATAATTTTCATATTCAAATTCCTGTAAAATACTTTCAATATTGTAATTTTTTTTTTTTTTTCTGGTGATTAAAAACTCTGTTTTCTAATGCTTGATTTGGAAAATATAAATTTTTTTTATATAAATTAACCCGAAAGTTTATATTGCTAATTATTTCAAGATTTTTTATTGCTAAATATATATTTGATTTCAGGAATGATTGAATTAAATGAAAATTTTAAATTTTATTATAACATAAATTTATAAGCATTTATCATGAGACAAGCATTTAATTAAATTTATGTTTTTTGTGTTTTATTTGTGTTTTTTTTTTTTTTTTTTTGGTCAGACCCCGTGATTTTTTTATTTACGTGTTATTTAATTTTATGTGAGTCTGTACTTAATTTTCGAGCAACGCTAAGATGATAATCAATTACTCTGTCGTCGTGAATTGTCTAGCATGCATAATATAATTATTTTCAATTCAAAATAAATCAAACACAAATAAATAAATATTAATTTATATTCCACTCATTTATACATCAAGCACAATAAAAAACAATAGATGTCAGGTTACAACTAAAGTGATGGTTGTTGTTGTCTGGTATAATATGCTGGCGATGATGATTAAGAGAGATGTGCATGTGACTAAAACATATAGTTTAAATAAATAATTAGTAAAAATGTAAGCAGCTTTGGGTCCATAGGGTCCATAGCTCAGTGGGTAGAGCAATTGACTGCAGATCAATAGGTCACCGGATCGAACCCGGTTGGGCCCTACTTTAGTTTTTTTTAACTTTTTGTAATTGATAATTTTTATTTCTATTTTTAAAATTTTATTTTAAATTACTTACACATAATTTTATTATTTATTCTATGAAGTGGATATTTCTGGCCAACTTTAATGAATTGTATTTCAGGGAGAGCTTTGGACTCTTATTCCTTAAATTATATTATTTTATTTTATTTTAAATTAATATGCCACAAATTCATGCCCAGTTTTAAATTAATTTTAGGTGATTTTAAATTAATATTATATGAATTTGAACACTCTTATTGTCGCGTACGACGTCTTGAATGTGAAAAGTAAAAAGTTGTGTTAGGCGGTCGATAACTAACATAATTTTTTTGTCGAAAATTTATGACATTAATCATTTAAATCTTTGTGTAAATCAGGGCGTCTCATGGAAGTGATTTGTAGTATAGTCTAAATTACATAAAAATTATGTAAGGGTCAGACACGGACACACAAGAAGAGCGTCAAATAAGCAAGTGTTCCAACGTTACAAACGGGTGCAGAGCAAAGAAGTTGGTTCATGAAACTAATATTAGAATGAGACATTGAAATATCGGTACTCTCATAAATAAATTAATGAAATTATAAGAAATTATGGTTCATAGAAAGATAAACATATTTTGTTTTTAAGAAACTAAATGGTTGTGAAGAAATAATACAAATGATGCTTCTTGAAGAAAAAAATATTTATTTGAAGAGATTGAAATAGGCATGTTGGTAAAGTGGTAAAGGATTTTAGAAGTATTCATGGTGGTTACAGTTTTAGAGCATTAATAAGGAAGGTAGAATCATATTAGATTTTATTTTAGCGTATGATTTTGTTATTGCTGATGTTTTATTTAAGAAAAGACATAAACATATTATTACTTGTAAGAATGGATCTAATAACACGCGAATTGATTTTTTTTTTTCTAAGAAAAAGAAATAGTTGAGAATGTAAAGATTGTACGGTTGTTCTAATTGAAAATTTCAGTACTCAACATTGATTATTAGTTCAGAATTTTAAGATGATGAATTGTAAGATAAAAAATACAATGAAAGATTGTCTTGGAATTAGATGAGAGCACATAAAATACATAAATAAAAATATTTTTATGAGTGCACTCCAAGATTTTAAGATTTGGAATCTTCATGAAGAATCTAATTTTATGTGGGATAAAGAAACAAACACTCTTAAGCAAATGATAAAAAAAGTACTTGCAGAATCAAAATGAAACGGTTTTATAAATAAAAATAGTTTGTGGTATAATAATAATTTGCAAATAAAAAAATATAAGAAGGTGTTTTATAAAAATTGTATTAAATGTAAAAGCTTTAAGAACTAGGAAAAATATAAAGCGGCTCGTAGGGAGTCTACGAGAATATTTGTTGATGCTAAAAATTCAGCTTGTAGTGATCTTTATATTAAATTAGATATTAACATTAGTGAAAAATATATTTATAAGCTAGCCAAATAAAGAGAAGATAAAATTAAAGATTTATTAAAGATGAAAATAAAAAAAAATTTGAGAAAAATATTCAACATAGGTGGGTGAGCTATTTTATTAAACTTTGTAATGAAGTTTCTAAAAATACGATCAAGTTTAATGACCTTAATATCGATGCTAATAATCAAACAGTTTATTTTTATCGTCATTTTAGTAAAAAAGAAATTGAGGAGACTTTAAAAAAAAATCAAGGGTGGAAAATCAATAGGACCTGATGATATCCTAATTGAAGCATGAAAATATTTAGGGGCTCTGGGAGTATCTTGGCTTACTAAACTCTTTAATATTACTTTAAAAACAAAAAAGATGCATGAGGAGTGAAGGAAGAGTATTTTGGTCCCCATTTTTAAAAAAAAATGTTGATGCACAACAGTGATTAAATTATAGAAGAATTAAATTGATGTGTCATACTTTAAAATTATGAGAGATGTTAATTGAACATAGGCGAAAACGTGACACAAAGATTTCTCGTAATCAGTTATGATTTATGTTGAGTAGGTCTACTATGGAAGTTGTAAAATTATTGAAAATTTTAATGAAGTACAAAGAAAGCAAAGAGGATTTACATATAATTTTATTTGATTTAGAAAAAACTTACGATAAGATTCCAAGAGAAGTCCTTTGGGGAGTTCTAAATAAGAAATGTGTTGATACTAGTTATATTCAAGTCATCAAAATATATACTAGAGCTATTACTTGTGTTTGAAAAAGAGGAGGATTAAACTAGTATTTTCCATTTTCAATTGCATTACATCAAGGATTGGAATTTAAGCCCATGTCTTTTTTTGCTTTAATTATGAATGCTCGTACTAGACATATACAAGAGGATGTACCTTGGCGTATGCGTTATACTATTGATATCCTTTTTTGCTATAGAAAGAGTTCAGGAAAAACTAAAATTATGGAGGTTAACATTGGAGTTTAAAGGCCTTTGTTTGAGTAGATCTAAAATTGAATACATAGAATGTAATTTCAGTAGTAGTGGCTCTAGTGACAGAATTATAACTATGGATGATCAAATCATCAAAAAGTGTGAATGTTTTAGATATCTCGGGTCAGTTATTCAAATTGATGGTGATATAGATGGGGATGTTATTAGTAGAATTCAAATTGGTTGGTTGAAGTGGAGGAATGCATCAAACCTATTGTGAGATAGAAAAGTATCACGTAGATTTAAATGAAAACTTTATAAGATGGTGGTGAGACCTGGAATGCTCTATGGCGCAGAATGTAGGCCTTTAAAAGAGAAGCACAAAATAAAGTTGAGTGCTGCTGAGATGAGAATGCTTAGGTGGATGATTGGCTTGACACTTGAAAACAAACTGTAAAAGGAATATATCTGTGATAGAGTTGGTGTTGCTCCAATGACAAGCACAATTGAGAATCATCTTAGATGGTTTGGCCACATTAAAACTCGACCATCTAATGATCCGGTTAGGAGAATAAATGTTTTAAGTTATTATTATTATTTAGAGAATGTTAACAATTATGCAGCCATGCTCACTAATTAGAAGCTTTGGCTCTTGATTTCTCATAATAACATGTTATTTTATACCATCTTAATTTGCCAGTTGAGAATTTATTAATCCTTCAATCATGAGATTTTATTTGCCGTCAAATTCTAGTTGTTACGTTTCATAAATATGGCAGAGAGAAAAAGCTGCTAAAATAGACCATTGCAATTAATTAATTGCATTTATTACGTTCCCAAAAAAAAAAATATGCCTTGATTCACTTAATATTGAAATTTGATTGTCATTAACATTTTTAAAATAATGTCAGATGATTCAACTTGTAGAAAAAAATTATGAAGAAGAGGATTACTTTGTTAAGTTTACTCAACAAAGTTATTTCGGTGCTACTAGGGGTGTAAATGAGCCGAACACGAGCTGAGCCTCATTTATATTTCGAGCTCAAAAAGTGTGTTCGTGTTCGGCTCGTTTGCTTAGTGAGCCGAACAAGCAAACGAGCTGAATACGAGCTGTTCACGAACAAAGAATCGTTTTGACGACCCTAATCACGTAGCCATAAGATGTTAATGATTGAGGCAAGATTTAAAACATCATTTGAATCTAAAATAATGATTTATATTTTATTTTCTTCATTAATATTTTTAATTGATTATTAATCTTTGTAGCCTTATAATCAATTAAATTTTTAAAAATTACTCATCAAAGATATATATATAATTGATTAGTGGTATTTCGAGCCAAAACGAGCCGAACACGAACAAATGAATATTGGTTCGTGTTGTTCTTGTTCGGCTCATTAACTTAGCGGACGAGCCGAACACAAGCTATTCGTGAACAAAGAGCCGTTTTGACAGCCCTAGTGCTAAGCAGTCAAAATATAACTTTTAGAATAAACTCATTAACTCAAAATCAAACCCAAACTCAAAACACAGTTAATCAATAAGCTCAAGTTCAACAAAGTATGGCCTTTCTTTTTTCTATTTTTTTTTTATATTTACTTTTTTTTTTTCGGGGGAAATTTACATACATACCACACAATTCTTATGTATTTACATATCTAACATCAAAAGTTTAATATTTACACTTATAACGCATTGATAAAAAATAGTATGATTTTAATTTTGATGTGATATTAGAAATTCGAGTGATATGAATGTAAATACGAATGTTTAAGCGTTAGATATGTAAATGCATGATAAATTGTGTGGTGTGTATGTAATGCTCCCTTTTCCTTTGCTGCAATCAAGATATGCATGAAATAAATAAACATCTATAAAGATTATCATCAGTTTCTCATAATGTCGAATGAGCTATTTCACAAATTTATTCATCTTTTAAAAAAAAAAAAAAAAAAAAAAAAAAAAACTCACAATAAGAACATCAAAGATGCAACAAATTTGCCCAAGAGTGAATATGGCATATGATGCCGTATGATGCCATTTTTGTTCAGAGTGAATATGGCATATGATGCCAGCCATAAAGGAGGTTTCCGTCCAAAGCTCAGGATTTCTATAAAGAGCCAGGCACAGATTCACTGTGCATAAAGCTGAGAGACACCATGAGCAGAAAACAAATATTTTTCTGTAATACATAAATGTCCTGTCAATCTTATGATTACCAAGGCCCTGAAAGGTTAGTTGTTAGATATGTAAATACACAAGAGTTATGTGGTACAAATGTAAATGCCCCAAAATAAAACTATGAAGTCACTTGAACAAGAGCAGGTATATATCTAATAACATATTTAGATCTAGGATGAATATTAAAAAAAAATTGCATAAAAGGTAAGCTGATACATACCAGAGTAATAGAAGCTGGTTGAAATTATGATAAATGTTGATGGCATATGAGCAATGATGAAACCCCACTTGAAATTCAGCAGTTAAGTTTCGTACAATTTTTACTGAAAAGAAACAGACAAGCTCTTAAATTGTGGAAAATCTGCTCCAGTTTGGTAAACACCAACTTAATTGGTAAGGGAAGATTTACATGCAGACCACATAATTCCTAGGTATGTAAAGATCTTAACACCAAAACTTTAATTTTTTACACTTTTGATACTTTACCAATGACTTGAAAGGTGTATTTTGCTTTTATGACTGTAATATGAAAAATTTGAGTATTATACAACATCAACAAATCTTTATCCCACTAAGTGGGGTAGGTTTTGGGTGTTAGATATCCCACTAATATTGTCATTGACGAGTCCCAAACCTCAAATGCAAAAATTGGAGGGTCATGTTAAGTAGTCGACCGCCAGCATCAATTTTTTGTCAAAAAACCGACATTTGAATACTATAAATGTAAAAAATTAAAATTTAGGAGTTAGATATGAAAATACATAGGAATGAAGAAGCAAGGACGTAAACACCTATTATTAACTGCATGGTTAGGCTAATATTAGGCCGTATCATTACAGCCTGGAATAAGATGAGAGTAATTAGAATCCAAGACGTTTTAATAATAGCAAACTGAAATAAAAGTTTAACAACATGATTGATATCTGAGCTAAAACAATTCATCTGTTTAGAGTATATCAGGAGTCAGAGTTTCGATCTGATGTGGATATGGATAAAGGTTTATTTCTTCTCATTTGGATATTTAAATTTCATAGGTTTTTACTTGAGCCATAAAAAAAATTTGATTCAAGAAATTCTCATAACTAATGTCAGCTGGATTCTGTATTTGAATTCGTTTATCAATTTCAGCATCCTTGTTGATTGAAATTTTCATGTAAAAAGTAAAGTTAAAGTGTTAGATATGTAAATACATAGGAATTGGGAGGTGGGTGTGTGTGTGTGTGTGGTAGAAAAAAGACTAGCTATATGTCATGAAATTCAAGCTAGCTTAAGAAAATTGACATTATCAGAAATAGGTCATAAGAGGGTGGAGCAAATTTTATTAAGATAGGCTAAATCGACTAGTCTAACAGATAGATGGATGAAGAACATAGCAATGAATACAATTTAAAAAATGAGTCATAATACAGAAGTTCTACAAAAGTACTTTGTGATACTTAGATATCATGGAGATCTAAGAAAATGAAGTATGAAACAACAATAATGAAAAGGAAGTTGAACTCCTTCATAAGGTGGTGAAAGAGACCAGGGTGATAAAAACTAAAAAGATATATTATGTATAAGGAGGGGCCCAAGAGAGGAGAGAGGATTGGAGGATTCAAATTTTAATTCATTAGTATATTGTCCAAAAGGATGACTAAACCCAAGTTATCGTCATCGAACATCATCAGTATATGAGAATGCAAAAATTTGTGATAATTTGGCTTTGATGCTGATTGATGGGGTACTATGGCAGAAAAAAAGATCAAATATTAGGAGAAAAGCGCCCAAAGGAAGGAAAAAAGAAGATGAGAGGAGGATTTAATCTTTTAATTTCCCATTCAACCCTATCAAAACACAAGCTAACCATTCCTTTTAATAAAAAAAGAGTTACAAAGATAAGATTGAAATAGCATCAAATCTATCATATTCAATAATGCAAATTCAAAAATAACATTATGTAAAAAGATACTTAAACCTAATTTTAATTGAAATAAAACCAAAGATCCTAAATTAAATCAAATGCCTAAAATAAACCTAAACCTAATCTTATGTGCTGCTTCAGGAAGATCATATAACCAAATCAACATAAAAATCTAAAAATCATAAAAGATGAATCAATGATAAAACTAGTTAAGAACAAAATGACATTTTTTAATATTTGAGATTAAAGGTGTGGATGTAGCATTCTTTACGACAGAAAGTATGAAACTCCTATAAAGTTAAAGAAAAATGAATAATGGTTAAGGATAAAAAAAGTATACCTGAAAAAAACTATCATGACTATATTGTTAGGTGTTATTTACCTTAACCAATCTTCAGTGCATCCCTCAGGCCAAAGCTTAAATTTTGCTGAGCTTTGCCAAAACCAACATTTCCCTTGTGCATCATATCAACAAACTCATTGTAGTCTATTCTACCATCCTAAAACATAAGATAAACATTCCCATGATGCCAAACTCACCGAATCATGAAATATTATGAGTTTTTCCTTAAGGTACAACAACACTTACATTGTCCTGATCAATTTCACGTATCACTTCTTCGAGATGCACATCATTCATCCCAAACTCCTCACAGGCCTTCTGGAGTTCATCATAGGTGATATAGCCGCTGCCATCTTTGTCAAAGTAAGAAAAGGCCGCAAAGAGATTATCCTCCCTCTCGATTTTGTTTAGATGCATTGTCGCAGCTAGAAATTCCCCATAATCAATTGTACCACTGTTGTCAATGTCTGCCTAAATTTTGCACTCAAGGAATCAGCTAGAAGATAAAGAGAGGAGGAGAGGTGGGAGAGAGAGGGAGAGAGATGTTTAATGCATCGAGTGAATTGAGAATCAAAATGCATTTATCATAAGCTACCGGCACAAGAAGCTTGAAATTTTAAATAATGCTCATATATCACAAATATGTGCATTAAAATACATTCTTTGTATGATAGGAAGCCTTTACTAGCTAAAATTACCTTTGGTTAGCAGAATCCTTTTAATTTAATTTTTTTTACCTATGTTCACGTAAGAAATAAGTGACATGAAAAAAAAAATAAAAAACACACATTAGTTTTTGTATATAAAAAGTATCGGTAACTTAAAGAAATTGTAGGTAAATTCCAAGGATTAGGGCCTTTTGGGTCATCTGTTCTTTAAATTTTCCAAAGCTTAAACAATGAATTTCCTAAATATCAAAAATTTTAGGCATGAACCAGTGGCATTGTAACTTAATGGAAAGTTGTTGAGCCCCCTACCGTTTTAAAATTAAGTCACTTGGGTTCCTCATACCAATTGCCATAATTTTTTCACAATTTTACACCAAAAAAGCTTTCAAATACCTCAAGGAAGTACCAATTGCCATAATTTTTTCACAATTTTACACCAAAAAAGCTTTCGAATACCTCAAGCAAGTACCACTGATTTACCAAACAAATTATACATAAATCAATTAATTAGTACTTGTCTGCATAAAGGCAATGTTCCCAGAATATGACTATTTTTCAATAAAAAACATCCAGGAATAATCAACAGGGGAACAATGCATTTGCACAGAGGGTGCTTTATTTTAACCGCACTAAATCAAAAAAGATAGTGCAATGCAGTGAAACAAATCAGCAATTAAAAGAGTGATTTTCAGAGACAGAAATATCAAATAAATAAATTTCAATCATAATTAAGAATTACATTATTCCTTTTTGTGGAGCTCTATATCGTGAGAACCTCCCCTTGCTATGAATTTGTCATTCATAATGTGGAATTGGCCAAAGAAAATTCCTATCTGAATCATTCTTTGAGGGAGGGAATGGCAAGTTACTTCTTCAAGTATGCAGCAATCAAACATGCAGCTTTAAAAGCCGATTCTTAGCACAGACCATCGTATTAATGTAGTATAAATATGCCTAATACTTACTGCTTCCATTAGAGCCACAATTTCTGAATCTTTTAGTTTTGCACCAACTCTTTCCAAACCAACCTTCAGTTCCTCAAGTGTGATCTGGCCACTGTTGTCCGTGTCTAACATCTTGAACATTTGCTTGAGTCCCGCAATTTCTTCTTCACACAAACTCTCGGCAATGACCTACCACATATAGAACAAAAATGAGTACATGGAGTTCTAATAAATAAAGATGCAAGAAGCCGTTAACAAATGTATCTGAAACAGCTTGCCATAGCTGACAATAATAATACCAATAGTAAAAAAGCATCGTAGAAAGTTTCTACCAAAATCCGATGCAACAATTTTTTATAATGAACATTATTGGTGAAACCAAACAATTTTAATGCAAATAAAGTCTCAAAAAATTTAATGAGAAACAGAAATAAATAACCTAGAAAGTGAGCATGATCTGTTGCAATAAAGCATAACTAAAATAAGGAAAATGATGTGAACTAAAACTTGCAAGCATTAAGCAATTGAACAACCCCACCTAAGATTTTAGGTTTCCAATTCCAGTAACAAGTATGGAAGTTGATACTAGTTCCATGGCAGCACAATTACAAAAGAAAATGTTAGGGTCTTAGTCACAGGAAGGTAAGATAGAAAGAAATGGATTGAATCAATAATAGAATGCAACAATTACGCTGTGTTTCCTCATATATCAAGTCAGATTGGGGCCATAGGAAGTGCCACTAAGCCTCCTGTAAGTAATCGGCCAAAACAAGTTCGTGGTTACTTCAATTAAATCCAAATCCAGATGTAGATTCAGAAGAAATATTAGTTTGCAGTGATTTCAGGTCCCTGGTTAAATTATATGCAGAACTTAATTGGTATTGACAGTTTACCATATAAAAGTCTAACCAAACCCAGCCAACACGAATCAAAACTCATTTCACAAACACTGTCCCAAGTCTAAGGAATATAGCAGATTTCCAGAATGCTGACAGACAAGTGCATGTTCTTAGTAATCATGTAGGATATGAAGGATGCAAACACACACTAAATGCAAGAAGACTGGTCCATCATATTCAAAACTGAGTGAATTCATGCATTTCAAAAGTAATTGTTCCTCGAGAAGCCTTTTCTATTTACATGAAGAAAAACTCAAAAGTAAAAAACAATGCATTGTTTTAACATGGATGATAAATGGAAAAAAAATGTAATGAGGCATGTAATATCAACTTGAAAATGGTAAAATGAATAACACTCATTTGCACAGAAGATGTGAAATCAAAACTCATGACTCAAGAACAAACTGAAATAAAAGGTGGGCCATCAAAAATCTCAGGCACAGTTTGATGGTCAAATGATCGTAACCTTGTTATAAAGAAAACAATCAAAAGGTGGTCAGCACATTGCATTTTTTAAACCAGCGGTTCCAACCGAGTCCCAATTCATCCATCTGAAATAGAACAGCCATCCAAGCTCAACCTAAGTACCTAAATAGAACCGTTTCAGATCTAATTGTGTGAGGTATCAGTACTAATATTAGGTCAAACCCTGGCCAGGTTTTGCAAGGATTGAGAGCCTGGCCATCTTCCAAGAGAAGCAGAGCCAATGTTTTACTAAAAGCATCCGTATGACAGAAAAATGCAAACGATATCTTTGTGGTTGTTGAGTAGAAATGAAAACAACAATAAATATATCAAATTTCACACAATCCTTTGAACTTTGGAAGATTAAAAAAAGAATATGAAGCATAAAAATAAAGGGAAAATGACATACATACCACACAATTCTTATGTACTTACATATCTAACACCTAAAGTTTGATATTTACATTTATAAAAATTTGGTGTTAAAACAAGTGCATGAAAATATGTGTTTCACTTTTAAAAAAGCTAGTAATAGTGATAGTAATGTCAAAGATTCAGGTGGCATGTATGTAAATATGAAACTTTCGGCGTTAGATATGTAAATATATAAGAATTGTGTGGCATGTAAGTCAATACCCCAAAGATAAAATCAAATGAGCTTGCCAGTAAGTATGTAATTGTATAAGGCCTTCCCAGTTTGCTACATCTATAAGCATATTATGTTACCATGATAAGTTTAATTTTTTCAAAGTTATTGACTGTAAGTTTAAATCACACACCCGAAGGGCCATTTTCTTAAGCTTGTTCATTGCTGAAAATTGCTTCAAGCGAGAAAGAACAGCAGAATCAAGAGGCTTATCAGGAGCAACACCATCTACCTGGACCCATGGGTGACCTGCAACAACAGAGAGGAAAAGAAAAAATAGATCATTAAAATTAATGATGCAATTGTTTTAGAAAGTCCAATTTAAAGAACAATATGGACTAGTGCACAAAACAACTCAAACGTAAGATATCCACACAAGTAAGATCAGTTTTAGAGCTGTAAAAAAAGTTCATCATTCATAAATAGCTCATATTCTACTTGCTAAAAAGTTTATATTTATTTTATTGTTAAGCGAGATAATATTGAATAGATATTTGAGCTAGGTTTTTAACTTGTCCAGCACAAACAGAGTTTCGTTCAATTGTGTTCTGCTTATTATTAGCTTGACTTAATATATACATATATATATATATATATACATATATACATACATATATATATACATATATATATACATATACATATATATATACATACATATACATATATATATACATACATATACATATATATATACATACATATACATATATATATACATACATATACATATATATATACATACATATACATATATATATA